CCTGAGCGGCAGATCCACAGCAGATGACTCAGCTTTCAAGCTTCCAGATGCTTGAAGCTTCTCAATGTTTGTCCAGAGTACAAACACTAACAAGTTATTAGTGTTAGCTCAGAAGGGCCATTCATGTTTACTGCTTCCACGTTTGATTTTCCAAATTCTTGGAGAATGAAGTTGAGAGAGAGAGCCTAAACTACTAGCTGCAATAAAGCCATTATTGCCTGAAAACCAGTTCCTAGAGGCAGGATCAGTGCTGGACTGAGTTTTTCCAGTATGCTTTGCTTCACTGATCTACACTTCCAAAATAAGCATTCCTGGCTGATGGGCATTGGTCCTTTGCCATTCATATTTTCAGAGGGCACCATAAAAGTAAAATTATAAGCAATTTAAAAATGAAAACCAGATTTTGACATCATTCATAACTAAGCTATTAAAAAAAAAAAAAAAACTTCTTGTGAACAACTCCACAGACTTTATTTGATTTATAGTAGACATTTGCTTTTAAGAACTTATCATTTGGGGGGAGAGTGCATTAAATCCTCCTGCAATCAATCACACTGCTGCTGGGATCAGAGGATATGAAATCAATGAATCCAAGAAATGGCTGAGTTTTGAAAAATATAAATACTTAGTGAAAGACAACATGCACTTCGTGGAGATGGAGTTTTAAAGCTATATTTTGAAGGGAAGCTCAGCTTTTGAAACACTGGTATAGATCAAAAAGTTTTAGGTTCTACTTAAAAGAAATGTGACTGCTTTTAAGAATGGACTGCTAGCCTCCTTGATGGAAGCTTTCAATATTAAAACTTCAGCTTAGGAAGGGTTTTTAAAAAGGAGTTCTAAGTCCCTGCATCACAGAAGAGCTGGAGACCTGGTGGGCCACACTGGCTGCCTTAGTTCTGTAACTACTGCAAGAGCTGGACAAGCAGGCATGTGTCCTGGTGGTACATGCTGGGCACATGAGGGCGGAGAAACTGTGATTGTTTATGCGCACCGCCAGCCCATTCTGCACCCTTGTGAGAATGACATCCTCTCCACCAGGCCAACCCAGACTTTGCACAGCTTGGCCAGGAAACAACAGTCTAGATTTCACTGCCTCAGTGGGCCAACTTTGTATAGGGTACACATACCATCGTCCACAAAAGTCCTGATCACTGGACTAACATTGTGCACAGAAACAACAGGCTCAATTCCCAACTTCTGCAGTAGATCTTCTGCTTCTAACTCAGGTCAGATTTGGTTCCAATTCATCGCAGTCCCTTAAAGTAAGGCCTTCTGACCTTGCAATGCTAACCGAGTGATGCTTTCATCCATTAGAATGATTTCCAAGCAGGACGACTTCTAAGGGTGTTAAAAAATGAGGGGCATGTGTGAAGGTCTGGCTCACTCTGTGTCTCCCTGTTTTCACCATTTTTCTGTGTTTTTCTCCTCTGTATCCTTTAAAATTATTCAAATGCCAGATGTAGCTTTTTAGAGGAAAACTCAAGATGTAGATTTAAGCACCTACAAAGAGTAGCACCTATCGGAAGAATGTTTTTTTAGAACACTAACATCTTTTTTTTTTTTTTCCTTTTTGTCTTTTTTACTGACCGGTAACAGGATCGCAACCCTCGGTGTCGCGCCCGCACCAGGGACCGGCAACGGGATCGCAACCCTCGGTGCCGCGCCCGCACCGCGCTCAGCCAGCGAGCGGGAACCGGTCTCCACATGGGATCTGAACCCTTGGCGGGAGCGCCGCCATGCTCCCAAGCGGCGCACTCTCCAGTGCGCCACCGGGCCGGCCCGCTAACATCATTTCTGATTAACTGGAAGAGACTTCCTGGTAAATTGGGTTGAGAAAAATACACTGGCCAAGTATAGGTTCAACAAGAGAAGAGTGCTGTGATCTACCAGCCATGTCCACCGTGGGCACAGGAAGGGAGAACGGACATGCTCAGGAGGTGTATTTATCATCCAGACCTCAGGAATGTAAGGGGAGCTTTGCTGGCCAATTCTCTCTTAGAGCTACTTAGTCCTCTTAGAAGCCCTTTAACCCACCCTGGGCCCCCATGGCGTCCAGAATGTGAGGGTGCAGAGGTGAGGATACGAGACCCTAACATTTCCTTCCCCAGCACTGCCTTAGAAGCAAGACGCTGCAGGACCCACAGAGCAGCCGTTTTATGGGCACTAAATCCTTCCAGGTGGAGCCTCTAGTCTTCTGCTTCTCTAAGAACACTGTCTCACAGAGAAATGGCCTTGTTGACCCAGAGTGGCATTCAGTGGTCCTCACACAGATCCAGACTCCTATTTTGGAGAAATATCCCAAGCACACGGAGCTACAGGGTTGGAGGCGACAAGGGGCAGCTCCCAGTTGAAGGGATTTGTTGACCTGCTATGAACAAAGAATCAACACTCCCTTGGCCAATCAACAAAGTAACAGTTTGAGACATAGAACTGCTGCTGGTAGTCAAAACTGGGTCCTGTCCAGAAAGCAAACAGAGAATATGAAATGTTCAGAGTGTGCTTCCAGGTGTGGCCATCTCCTCACCCCAGGTTCAGACACTCCAGTTTCTACTCTGGAGGGAGATGCCAGAACTGAGAGGCATGCCTCAGCAGGAAGGTCCAGCACAGGGAGGGTCTGCAACCGCAGCACAAGTCCTCTGGGCCTGACGCCATTCATCCAGGCAACGTCCACCTCAGCCTTTCCTGTCCTCAAGCCTCCTCACCGCCCACACCCACTCACCTGTGATTTTCTCAGCAGCCCAGTATTTCCCCACGGTCTCCAGCACCCAGGCTTCTTCGCGATCCACAATCAGATACGCACTTTGGAAGCTATGGCAGGCGTCTGCATCTTCATAATAATTCCCACCTTGTCCATGTTCTTCCAACAAGAAGACGATGACATCTAAGGCTTCTTTAGCTGTTGTCCCTCTTTCTAAACCAAGTCTGCAGGAAAGAAACCAGAAGTATACATCAGTCATTTCGTATCATGTAATTATTACCATAGTGATCAAAGACTGGGTCAAGGCTGTTATGAAGCATGCCAACATGTGTAAACATGTTAAATATGGAGACTAATATGCAAACCAATCAATGGCACTTAAACTCAGAATACATATCTCACATATTCAGTTAAAAATCACGGGGGTGTTTTGTCTTTGGACCCTCCCCTACTACACAGAAGAATCAGGAGCCCAGTGGCGTCTCCCTCTTGAAAGGAAGTTCAGCCTCTTCTTCCCTTTCCTGCCTCTGTCTCTATAGACCTAACCAGCTCGGCTCTGGCCGTTAGTGAGACCCCTTTTCTCTGGCTAGTGCTCCCTCCTGACTCTAGCCTGGGAAAAAGAAAATCTCTGCGCAGTCCAGCTTGATCTCTATTACTCTCCACTAGGCATTTTGGTTACTGCTATGTCCTGAATGTTTGTGTCCCCTGAAAATTCATATGTTGAAGCCTAATTCCCAATGTGATGGTATTAAGAGATGGGGCCTTCAGGAGGAGGCTAGATCATGAGGGCTCTACCCTCTTGAGTGCAATTAGTGTCCTTATAAAAGAGGCCCAGAGAGCTCCCTCATCCCTTTCCACCATGTGAGGACACAGCAAGAAAGTACCATCTATGAACTAGGAAACAGGCCTTCACCAGACACTGAATCTACTGGCATCTTGATCTTGGACTTCCCAGCCTCCCAACTGTAAGAAATAAATTTCTGTTGTTTATAAGCCACCCAGTCTATGGTATTTTCTTAACAGCCCAAACGGACTAAGACAATTAGTAAGTCAATTGCCAGTCACTGTGCTCTGTGCTTATAATTTGCTCAGAGATTTCATAAGGCATCTCTGGTTAGGGTGGCTGGTTAGGACATAGCTGATCCTTTTTCTACATGTTTCTCCCCCTACCTCTCAGCCTACATCTACTGGTGTGGCTTACAACCTCAGTTATCAAAAGAACATACATTCCTTCTGAAGTGAGACATCCATCTCCCCCTGGCTTTTCCCTTAACAGACTTTTTAAAGAGGGCACAGATATTGTCCTCTGTGTGACCTTGGGCGGGTTACATAATATATTTGAACTTCAGTTTGTCATCTATAAATTGAGTACCTATGTCATTGGGTTGCTGTTAGGATGAGTTCTGTGAGATAATTAATGTGACAATACATAGTGCTAGTGCCTAGGACCAAGTTAGTAATGAGTACACTTCCAGAGGCAAAACGCTCTGGAAGAGACACAGATGATTCAGAGATAAAGGGACCTAGCTTCTAGTTCTGGCTCTGCTGCTGGCTGGCAGTATGATCTTAAGTCATGTGGCCCTTCCAAACCTTGATTTTCTCATCTGTAAAGTGAAACAATACTCTCTCTCAGGCTGCTATGAAAGAGGGTCGCATATGATATGTACTCAGTAAATGTCCACTTATTTATCTGTTCACTCAAATTATAATTCCAGTGACAGGAACCAGAGTCTCACTCAGAACAGAGGCGATAGCTACCAAGATAATGAATCTTCACTTGACAAATAATAACCATTAAAATTCACCCAATTTGATGCTTCCTAAAGGGATATTTCACTGTGCTGCCAGGGAGAAGAAAAGATAATACAACTATATGCTGAGGACTTATTCTTATTACAGGCTTATTTTCACAGTCAGATAATTATATATCAATTCATTTGACAGTTCCCATTTTAAGCTTATTTAGGAAGACTTGGTTACAAGGCAGTAATTTACAAAGCTGAACGCCAAGTCCTTAGGAAAGTGATAAAAGAATAAACCCATTAGAAGACTGAATTAAGTAGACTCTTCTGCGGGTTGGTGTCATCTTCTCCAAAGAGGAGTCGCAGAAGCAAGCACTCACCTTATCTCGAGGATCTGGAGTAAGCAAGTGTGACGTGAGGGCCTCTCATGACCCGAGCTGTGTACCCTGGAGCACTTCCTTCCTCCTTTCTATGGGCCCATGGTGGCCCTAGTCACAATGCCTCATACACACTCTCCAGGCAGAACTCTGATCCCAGGGCCTTTGCAGGGCCCCAACTTGCCCACACCAACATGTACTAGGAACATGTGAATACATAGCCAGGTGCAATAGCCCATCTTTGGAGGTTGTGACTTCTCTTTTGCAGTTTCTAACACTCTCCTGAGGTTCTACCAGCTTGTGTTCCACACCGAGACCCCCAAAACTTACACTGGGCCTCCCACGCTGACCTTGACATGTTACGTGCAGTCTGCAGCAGGACCACAGCACTCATCCACAGATACAATTATGATTTCACGCTCCTACCTCTCTGCCAAGGCCATGGGTCCCACTTGCCCATTCCCACCTGGTCTTGCTGCCATGGGATGAGGACAGGACCACCTGCTCCACAGTACAAGGATGTAATTAATACTGGAATTGCACACTCTCCACTTAAGAAGATACAGACGAATCCCATGGCACTGGGTGCAGAGGAGATGCCAGAGAGACCATGCCTGCTGTGACCTGGGGCCACAAGTCACACAACATCCAGAGGCCTATTTTAAAGCCATTCACAACTGTCTCACCTTCTAGATGGGGCGGATTCATGAGACTCTTTGCAAGAACAGCACTGTTCTGGCCCCTTGCCTAATTTCACTTTGGCTGCTACATCTCAGCACGGGCAGGACCAGGACAGGGAAAGGGATAAAATTAAACGGGCCAAGGTTAGAGTCTCACTCTGATATCTAGCTTCAGTGCAATTCAAACCCTTCCAAAGTGGTGCTTTGTCCATGTTGTTCTGGGTCTCGGAGTTAGATGCTGCTGAATTTAATTCCTCATTTTATGGGAAAATCTTTATTGGGGGCCCAAGACCATCTCACAGGTATGTCAAGTTCACTCTGCTCATTCCTGAAAGGTTAACACATCTCACTGACGAAGATAACATCTTCACTTCTGCTTACAGCCCCTTTGTTTAGGAACTCTGCTTATCTTTTTGATATCTATGCCTCCGTGGATTAGGGGGACCCCTCTCCCTCTGTATCCCAAATAAGGTAAAATGAAGTTATAACTAGATTTAGTGTGGACATATAATAACTGCCCTAGGGAAACAAAAATAACCAATGCTTCTCTCTTTAGAAGTATGGGCCCATTGTTCTTATAGGACTCAGCTGCAAATAATCGTCCCTCCTTCCCACAATCAATGAGTCTACAATGCCTCTCCAGCTTCGTGACCTTTTAGACATCAAAGATTCCCATTAAGGTAATGCTATGCTGTTTGTGTCCCCCCAAAATTCATATGTTGAAGCCTTGTAAATTCTTATGTTGAAGTATTCTAAATACACTAATGTATTTAGAGATGGGGCCTTTAAGAGGTGATTAGGTCAGGAGGGTGGAATGTAAAAATGAAAAATGCTCAGGCTCCCTCAGCTGTTCAGAATCTTGCCAGGCATGACCTAGTCTCTTTGATGTAAACATGCTAACTGCACATGTGTGCCCAGGTGTTCTTTGGCTATTGTCTGAGGTAATTGTGCATGCTCTTTGATGTAAACATGCTAACTGCACATGTGTGCCCAGGTGTTCTTTGGCTATTGTCTGATGTAATTGTGCATGTGCACCCAGGTGTTCCTTGGTTATCTGACTTGCACCCAGGTGTCCCTGGGTTATCTCACTTAAGTATAAAGGACCAACTGCCTTTGATCCACAGGGCCCCTGGGGAAGCCTGCGGGAGGCCAACAGGGGGCAGCAGCAGTGGGCTGAGCACTGAGCTCATGTCTAAATAAAGCATGTCAACCTTGCCAACAGCTCCCAGGATCTTTTATAAGTACCTAGCTTGCAACCTGCTTATGTAGAGGTCTGTGACCAAGTCTTCACAATAGGTTTAAAGAGTCTGTCACCCAGCCTGACAATGGAGCCCTCGTGATGCCCTTATAAGAAGACATACAACAGCTTGTCCCCTCTCTCTGCCCTCCACCATGTGAGGAGACAAGGAGAAGATGGTTATTTGCAAACCAGGAACTGGGCTCTCATCAGACACCAGATCTGCTGGTACCTTGATATTGAACTTCCCAGCCTCCAGAACTGTGAGCAATAAATTTTTGTTGCTTAAGCCCCCTAGTCTATGGTATATTTGTTATAACCCCCAAATGGACTAAGACAGGTGACAAGTGAATGGTAAACTCTGCACTGACTTGGGGAAAGGGTGTGTGAAACCTTTTGACTAATCTCCATCTCTCGGTGTCCCAAGCTTCCATCTCACTGAGAGCAGAAGAAGTAAAGTGAGATGTAATACAGGGAGGAGAGGCGCCCCTGAGGTCAGCAGGCTCTGGAATCCCTGGCTCAGCCACTCTCTAGCTCTGGGGCCTTGGGCAAGTCCTTTACCTTCCCTAAGCTCCAGTTTCCTCATCCACCAAATGGAAGTGAATAGACCTACTTCACTGGGTTGTTGTGAGAGTTAAATGAAAGAACATATGCGAAGCATGTCTTACAATGGTGTTCAAGGAACAGTAACTGTAAGTACATGGGTTCTTCCCTCCTATAGGTACTGACTGGGCCTCCTTTCAAATCACCTGAGTCCTCACCTTCTCCAACAACCTAAAGACAAACAACAGACCTTTTCAAATTTTTATACTGGTCTCTTGTGGGGGACTTTTGTGTTTTTTTAACATGCTGAGGGTCTGCACCTTCTCCAACAACCTAAAGACAAACAACAGACCTTTTCAAATTTTTATACTGGTCTCTTTTGGGGGACTTTTGTGTTTTTTTAACATGCTGAGGGTCTGATGGAATGTGTCCAGAATTATAAGATGTTCTGAAATAGTGGGATTGACTAGGTTTTAGTGCCAACATTAAACACAAATAGGAGAAGTCAGTCTGCAAAAAAAGAAAAGAATGTAAAGCAGTTATGCAAAAGGAAGAGGAGGCACAAAACAATGAAAGAATGTGGTGATCTGCAGCGCCACCAGTACCAGCTCAGGGTTAAATTTCAGGAACTTTGAGCCAGTTGTTAAAACATTGGTAGCTTGAAATCTGTCATGGTGGGGTATTTACACTGTGGAAACTGGAAAAGGACACAGACCAGGGCTGCCCTCCCCTACCCCAAGCTGGCTACTGACTATTCCTGGCACACCACTGACTAATGGGTTCCAAAAGCGTTCTAGTTCTTTCTCATTCACATTGAGGCCCAGACACGTTATCACGACAGACAGACCCTAGGTTGTAAGAGACATCCTGACTTCCAAAAAATAAATTCCCGTGTTTATGTTTGCTCCTGTCAGCTACATGTTACTTGGAACCAACCTCACGAAACATGCAAGAATGTATATATGTGTTTACGTGCCTTTTCCTCAGGAGAAAGGGACTAGCGGTCAGACTTTCACAGAGATCAGTGGATCAAAAATACAAAAGCTTGGTTTTTAGCATAAACATCACTGAAAATGAATTATAAAAACAGGATTGCCTAACGTCTGCATTCCCACAAGACTCTGAGAAACATACAAATTAGATCTTTAGCATAAAGTCAGTGCCTATTAAATTGCTACTGTCATTCATTTATCTCTCTTTGAACTGAGATTGGATTTCACATGCTGATGGAAAGCACAAAAGACCAGAGTACATGTAGGGACAACCACCCACCTTATCAACCACAGTCTAGCAGGCACTTGCAACAGAGTGTAACACATGAACAGCATCCTCTCACAAGAGCTGTCCGGGGAAGAACTGGCATCCAAGAGCAGAGCACATGCAAGGACACAGGAAAGAGTGGTACCTCACACGTGATGCCTAGCAAGACACCAAGCCCAAAATGAAGAGAATGCAACCGAGACAAAGTCCCCTCTGGAGCAGTGGTCCTCAGCTTCAGCTGTGCATCAGCATCACCTGCAGGGCTTCTTAAAGCACAGATTGCTGTCTTCCCCCGCCGCTGAGTTTCTGATTCATCAGGTGTGGGATGGGGACCGAGAACTTACCTTTCTAACAAGTTCCAGGTGATGCTTGTTCACTGTCCACACTTTGAGAACCACTGCTCAAGAATCTTGCCACTTAACTGTGGTTTGTGGACCTGCAGCATCGACTGTGCATCAGCATCACCTGGTACTTCTTAGAAATTAATATAGGAGGTCTTCTGGCTCATGAGTCACTTCTAGAATTTGGTTGGGATAAAACGGCCCCTTAGAATCTGACTATGCTTGGCTGAACTGATCACAGCTGATTTAAAGCTGAGTTTGCATTGCTAACTTTCTATCTTCTCCCTGCAACCAGACTAAAATCTCTGATGCTTTGAGCTTCTGCACCTGCTCACAGAGACTAACACAAAGTAGACACTCAGTAAACCCATCACTTTATTGGTTGATAATCTTGAGAAGATACGTCGGAGGCTTTAAAGAAAGAAAGAAACATTCCCTTCCATTATCCCTTAGAAGTCAACTGTTAAAGTGGTTGTTGCCAGTTCTAAAAGTCCCATACTGCAAATATAACTCAAAACACAAATTTATAAATGAGGAATAAAATGGGGCATATTTTTCATTGTTAAGTTTTCATTTTCAGGATTTCTATTAAGGATGGAGGTTAAAATACTGAGGGTGCTGTCAAAACATAAGCTCAAAACTTATTATCCTATACATTTTATTCTGTTAAGAGAAAACTGGCTATATAAATGAGGCTTTTTCTGCCTTTTCCCCAGCTCAGGGAAGCTGTTCCTTCCGAGTGTACAAAAACCAGGAAGAGTAAGGAAGGGACGAAGGCAATACCTATCAGACCCATCCATCAGCTGGCAGAAGTGGTGGCTCGCAGAGGCCTCTGTCTAAATGTGCAATTTCCCCCTACAGAACCAATGTCAATGTTTTTATAGGATGTTGGCTTTGGGAGCTTCTTCAGAGGTCATCCAATCTAGATCTCATATCGAAAAATTGGGAAACTGTGGCAGTGAGAGTTGATGTAACTTGGTGTATCCACACTGAAATCCAAGACCCCCAGCTCCAGCACAATCTTCCTTCAACTATGTCATAATCCTACTTCATTTTACTATTTCAGAAAAAAGAAAGCCATTTCAGAACGTCGTTTTGTTCCAGGGCAGTGAGAGTTGATGTAACTTGGTGTATCCACACTGAAATCCAAGACCCCCAGCTCCAGCGCAATCTTCCTTCAACTATGTCATAATCCTACTTCATTTTACTATTTCAGAAAAAAGAAAGCCATTTCAGAACGTCGTTTTGTTCCAACCCAACTTCTATTTTAGTCATTCATTCAAAATTCAGTTCTTGATCACCCATATGTGCCAGGCACACAGTTCCCAGGGCTTGTGACACAGGAGTGAACACACAGGCAAAGACCCTGTCCCATCCAGCTTAGACGCCTAATGCCTTCTGTTACGTAGTGGCTGGGAGTGGGAGAAAAGACAACTGAGATTTAGAGGGGAAAGGAGGGAAGTAATCTGTTTTTTTCTTTTAGATTTTATGTATTTTTATATATTTTTCTTTTATATGTCACATACCATAAAATTCATCCATTTAAACTATACAGTTCAGTGGTTCTTAGTATATTCACAAAGTTGCACAACCATAACCACAATCTAAATTAAGAATATTTTCGGGCCGGCCCGGTGGCGCACTGGAGAGTGCGCCACTTGGGAGTGTGGCGGCGCTCCCGCTG